CTCATATTATGGCATCATCAGGAGAACAATTTTCGGCAATAAGATCAATGGCAACATATTTTAAATAATCTTTAAGGTTTTTATGATTGACTTTTGATTGTGATTCATGTTCTTGCGCCAAGAGTTGATGAACTGTTTTAAATCCCTTAATTTTCTCGAAAGCATTTCCACTTTGTAAACACATTCAGACTATTTCTTTATTTCAGCCACTCATGAGTAATGAGAGTCTCCAAATCAGCAAATCCGAGCCAAAATTTGTTAAAGAAGCTCAAGGGTGAAGGGCCAAAGTCTGGGGCTATTAAGGAGTAGAATTATACGACAATGGTCCGCAAAAAGCCTTTGCACGCAAGGCAATCATATATAGTAGAATTTGGTCAGAGATGCGTGAAGCCATGGCAATAAGGAAACACTCACTGGATTTATGTTTAACGAAAATCAATTCAGTACCACCAAAATTGGTGTCATGTTCCATGGGATAAGATAATTGTAATCGCTTTTTTCCACGTAATCCTTATGAGTAGAAAATTCGTAAGCATTATCCGTTTGAACATGGGGTATATATAAAAGACAAATCCTCGATAATGGATCATTAATCATGGTGAGCTCTAGGTTTTTAACTTATTAGAAAAGGATGTAGTGGGTTGTGTTGGTCCTCCTTGTGGAATTTTTTCACACCCGAATAATAGTGAAAAGTCAAAATTGCAAGAATGTTCCCGTGGTTAGGTTGAAATTGTCATTTTGGGCAAAAACAAGTTTGGACTATCACTTATGGTCTAAAGGTTTTTATTTTCTTGCCACTTTGATCCAATTTACTATAAATTTTTTTGTAATGACGATTTTTCCCTTGGATTTTGTTTTTTTTTTAAGTTTTTTATTTATTTAGATACTTTAATAATTAAAAGAAAAATTAAAAAAATACATCTTTCTCTCTCCCTCCCTCCCCATCCCCTCTCTCACTCTCTCCATCTCCTCTCTCTGTCTCTCCTGTGAAATAGAAAGTCAAAATCCTCCAACCACTTCTTCTTCCCAAGATTTCTCTGCTTCATCTCACTGCCGACATTTCCCCTTCTCCGACCAATCCATTCTCGATTTGTTCTTAAACAAAAACACATACCTGTTTTTACATAAAAACACACACCAGATGAACCAAAATAAAGATGAACCCAAGAGATTTGAAAAACATGAAACCAAAATGTTAAAGAACTCAGATTCAATATTTTTGTTCTTCAAAGATTTTGCAGATTATGAATTTGATCATAAATACAAAACACATACATACAACCCATATCTGAGGTCAAACGACACCTCTCTCACCATCATCTCTCTACAGTCTCTCAAGAGCTTAACGCACACATACACTCACATTACAATCATCAACCTAACTATTTCTATTTCTTCATCAGTAAAACAAAGATGTTAAGATGTTGGAGTCATCTCCAACTGTGAAATCGCTGTCTTCCATGGAGGTTTATCTTCAATCTGACTTGGTAGCTGCAGTGATGGTGGTTATATAAGAAATTGAGTCGGCGATGGTTGGATCTGTGAAGAAGCCCAAAATCAAAATTAGAGTTTTTGGAGTTATGAAGGGTTTTCTGAAGATTTCAAGTTAAGTTCATCAAGACTCCAAAGATTTCAGGTTAAGTTCCAGGGTTTGCTCATCGGTGGTTATTTTTGGAACACAAGAACCAAAATGACAATAATTTTGATTTGCTTCACTATGAACAAGATTTCAGATCTTACATTTTGGGCTTCTATTTGTTCATACCAAGAACACTTGAACACAATCATCTTAGGCTTTAGGTTGATATTTATTTGAGTTTTGTTGAACCTTCCACCTGAAATCATTATTCCTAAAATGGGACTTTGAGACCCACCCACATGCAATTTTTTCTCGCCAGACATCATATTCGAGAGCCATCAGTAATTTCTTTTTCTTGCCAAAAAATAATATCTCGTCGGAGCTAGTTAAATTTTCCGACGTTCGACTGTTGGCGGCGTCTTGTGGTGGTGGCGGTGGTAATGTGGACTGGTGGTTATGATGGTAGAAAAGGACATTGGAGTTTGAAGAGAGAGAGAGAGAGAGAGAGAGAGAGAGATAGAGGGAGAGAGAGAGATTTTCTTTTTTCTTTTAATAATTATAAAAGTATTTTAATAAATAAAAAACCTGAAAAAACCAAAAACAAGGGCAAATTGGTCATTACAATAAAGTTTAGGGTTTATGTCATTTTTGGTTACTTAACTTTTGTTTTTGTGCTGACTTGGTCACTTAATTCTTTTTAATTTTTAAAAGGTCATCAAACTTTTGACTTTGTACTCATTTACTCAAATTTTGATTTGGTTACTTATCTTTTAGATTTGTGCTCATTTAGTCACCTAACTTTTAGAATTATGCTCATTTAGTCACTAAACTTTTGAAAAAAATTTAAAAATTTAGTGACTAAATGAGCACAATTTTAAAAGTTAGGTGACTAAATGTGACCAAACCAAAAGTTAAGTGACTAAATGAGCACAAAGTCAAAAGTTTGATGACATTTTAAAACTTAAAAAGAGTTAAGTGACCAAATGAGCACAAAACCAAAACTTAAATGACCAAAAATAATCTAAACCTTAACGTTTAAAGTAAATTGGACCAAAATAGCAAGAAAATGAAAATCTTTAGACCATAACTGCTAATTCAAACATTTTTAACCCAAAATAACAATTTTGACCTAAGTACAAGGACTATTTTTACAATTTTGTCTATTGAAAACCATTTACCACCTTTGACCATCATCATTAATTTTAGTGTGTGTCAAACCGTCCCATATAAACAAACTTGATATTTTATATTTATAGCCCCTTATAGTATATATTATTGTATCTAATGTCCCTTATGTTATATATAACTATCCATTATGATCCTTTGTACTTTTGAATATAACCGATCAATCACTTATAAACAAATTTTATATGTGGTCCTTCATTTTACGAATAATTTTCTATTATAATCCTTTATATTAGCTACATATTATTTTTAATATATATTACATATTCATAGTTAGAGTTAGCAATAGGTCGATCTGGGTTGGGTTCGGGTTCAACTAATTTATTATTGGACTGAAGTTTCCACCAAACCCAACCTGTTTATTTAAATGAGTTGATATTTCCAACCAAAATCAACCTTTTAGATAAATGGAATATCATCGGGTTGACCTATTAATGTAGTTCCTGTCTTCTTGACCCAACCTACTACATAAATTGGTTAAACTTAGGTTAACTCATTTAAAATAAAATAAAAAAATAACTAAAGATTATACCACTTAAATTATTTCCAAACGTCAATAAAATTTCAATGTATGACAAAAGCACAATCTTATTTCAAAAAACATATAAATTGTTCAAATAACATTAAAAATGTTATTCGAAGTAGTTTTAAAGAGTAGTTAGTATTATCAATGGTAAGACAAAGAATGACAATTATGATTGATTTTTTGAACATAAATAATAATACATTATAATTTATAAATTAATACTTTAATTAATATATGATGATATTCAAATAATTACTAAATTAAATATATAAAAGTTAAATGGATTGGAGACTTTAAAATGTGTTGATAATTTTTACCCAACTCAACCTATATAATTAAATGGGTTAAGTGGGTTGACCTGTTTAACTTAAACTGGTTGTAAATCTCAACCCAACCCGTTAATTTTGGATTGGGTTCGGGTTGGGTTAGTGGATTGAATCGTTTTTTGCCCGCTCTATTCATCGTGGGTTAGGTTATGTTCAATAATGTTCATAACTAAACATTCATGTTCATATATGTTTGTAGATGAATATTGGTGAACATTCATGAAAATTGATGTTCATATTACTGGAGACGCAAATGGTGGACAAGATTTGTTTCAAAGATGTAGGTGGTCGAAGTGGAAACGGAAGTGATGGGTAGTATCATCGAAGCATATGTGATAGTCATTTATTTGGGTATTAGAAATGGTTGTTATTATTGCCTGATGTGATGATTTTTCGATAAACGAGACAAGAGAGATAAGGGGTAACAAGTAAGTCCCGGAAGGATACAGGTTGGAATGGGATCTTAATTTCTTTTTAACAACATAAACAAGAAATCTGCAATAAAAATTCAAAAATGAAATCAACATGGCAAAATAGTCTTTTTAGGTCGGAAGGAGACTAAGTGCATAACAAAAAACATAAAATATTGACTGGTCAAGTTAAAAAGAAAGTTAGTAATCAAATGTACAAATTATCAGGGAAAATTTACTCAATAATTCATATGGTTCTAAAATGACATCCAAATATATAAACATATATACTTGATGGACCTATATGTAACTAATAAAATTAGCAATGATTGTTGAAAGTTATAAAATAAACGACTAATATAATAAATAATTAAAACCAAAAGCATATTAATGAGATTGAGTAAACATGTGAAATGAAATATATGCATTTAAAAGGTTGACTGGTATTCTTATGGGTGTGATTAAAATCCTCCTTGTGTTATCCCATGTTGACTTTCTTGGGATGAAAGACTCTCTTCATTATTGCCTTCTTTAGGATCTAGTCTGCTCTCTGAGCTACGTCTTCCTCTTTTGTCTCTCAGTATTCTTAATGTTGAAGTAAAATAGTGAAGTTCAAAGTATTTGTTTGGATGGTGATTCCATCCTAGTGAAGTTCAAGTATTTGTGTATTTTTACCTTTTGTATATCCAATCCATAATCCAAATTATGCAACCACTTAACTATAAAAGAAACCTTCATTTTCTATGTTGAGAATTATCTATTTGAGGACACAAAGATATTTCAGGCCATCATGATAATGATTGGATTGACGTAGTGTTGGTGGAATTTTAGTTGATATAGAACAAAAACACATAAATTAGAGATGGCTTGTTTTTGCCAGGGATTTAAAATTTTGTCCCTAGTGTTCTCTATAAATACGTAAGCCTGATGTTTTCTTTGTAAGATTTACAATCTGTTTTATGTAATGAAATCAGGTAGCCAACATCCTATTTTTTGATGAACCTGCTGGATCTGGATTCTCGTATGCAAAATCCCCTGAAGCTTACATAACAAATGATACTTTAACACCAATTCATATGCACCAATTTATAAGGAAGGTAAGATAATTTTTGAAAGAAAATATCTAATACAACCATGCATCTACATATTTGAATGCATACACACATTCTCTTGAAAATGGATTTGTTATTAATTTTATAACTCACTATGTTATACATGAAAAAATTAATTATTAATTTTACGTCATCCAAGCATTAAGAGTTGATTGTAATCTATATGCTTTAGCTAACATCAATGTCTGCTTTTTATGTCGATTTCAGTGGCTTGTGGATCATTCTAAATTTGTCAACAATCCCTTGTATCTTGGTGGTGATTCCTATGGTGGCATATCAGTGCCAATGACTATTCAAGAGATATATAAAGGTACATTATTTTTAGGATATATGTAGCGTATTAGAGAGATCATGCGGAGATACTTCAACTTTTAGCTTAATTTCCATATTTTGTAGGTAATGAAGATGGAGAAGAACCACACATCAACTTCAAAGTATAAGTTATTTAGATTAGTCCAACATTCCTATATGTTTATACCCCTATCTAAGTTTCTGTAATGAAATTGATATATGGTTTTCCAACATAGGGGTACATTCTTGGTAATCCTTTAACAGACAAACATGATTCCTATAATGCGAAAATCGAACAAGCTCATCGTATGTCACTCATATCCGATAAAATATACGAGGTAAATAGTTAAGTACGAACGAGTTGTGGCTAATACATTATGTGCTAAAAAGTTTCTTGTTTACATAGTTCGTAGCTCTTATTTGCGCTAAACAAAACTGCAAATTAATGTCCGTGAATTAATATAGTCCAATAATTTTACAGTCTGTTAAAAAAAGTTGTCACAGAGAGTACCAATATGTAGATCCAAACAACTATCGTTGCATACATGATCTTCAAGTGGTATACGAGGTACATAATTAACCTAGATTTTTACTTGGGGTATTAACTTAATCCAAAATTTCATTGAATTTAGTGCTTTGTTATTTTGATTTTGTAGTGCATTAAAAGAATTAAAGTGGACAACGTTTTAGAGCCTTTTTGTGATCCTTTAAATACCTCAAAATCTGAGCTCCTGAGAATAGACCTAAGATCCATTGATAAGACCTCTATTGATATTTGGTCATCAGACGAAGATCTGACACGATGGATTTGTGTAATGTTTCTCACTTTTCCTCTGTGAATTATATGCTTCTCCTGCTATTCCTTCATTTGAGAAAAGTACCCATCATACTTGCATTTTATATATATCTAAACTTCAAAGCTACGTGACTTTGGGAAATCATCATATGCAACGTTGGTATAAAATAATTGGTGCGTTGAAATGCAAAATAAATATTTATCATATAATAACTTGTGATTATATGTTAGTGAAAAATTTCAACAAATAAACAAGTTTTATTACTTCATTACGTGAGATTGATTGCTTTGAGAATAACAAGTTTTTATCTCCATTTCTACTCCAAACCTTGTTTACGACCTGCAACAAAAAGAATAAGTGACATTTTCCGTTAAAATGACTATCAGTAAATCGTATTTCAGAGATTCATTTTTATAATTACAGTTAATAATCACATAGAAATTTTTAATTGTAATTATAATAAACTTATAGTTATCAAAATTATTTTGAATGGAAGTATAAAATACATGATTTTTGTTTTTCATTTTATCATACATGAGAAACTTATTGTTTTTTAATGATTTCTTCTTTCTGATGTATTATAGTTTTTTATCTTAGAATTTTACAACTATAATTGTTATGTTAAAATGAAGTATAATTTTTGCAGTACTACAAGTCTGCATACATCGAGGCATGGGCTAATCGGAGAGACGTAAAAGAGGCTCTTCATGTTAGTGAGGTTTGTAATTGACTGTTGCTAAATAGACACCCCATGAACATTTTTTTTAACAAAAATCAACATATCATTAACTATATCTAATTTTCTCTATAAAAAAACAATGCAAGTTCAATACGACATTAATTGTATGGCTACAGGTATTTAATGAAATTAAATGGGTGTCATGCAATCAGAGCTTGACATATAATGATGGTTTGCTTGCGAAACCTAGTTACAAGTTCAATGTCATGAGTACCGTAGCTTATCATCAAGAATTTTCTCATAAAAATTGTCGTGCTTTGGTATATAGGTAGTTATGCTTCCTCCCAATATATATTTTTCATATAATTTCTTTTTCAAGTTGGCTCCTAGTCTCTTATATTTATGTATACATATATATGGTATTTAGAGACTTGAAGGAAACAAAAATTAATAACATTTTGTTTCTTTGTTGTTTTTGTTTGAGCAGTGGAGATCATGATTTGCGTGTTCCATATTTTTCTACGCTAAAATGGATTGAATCGATAGATTTGTTAGTCATGGAGTATTGGAGACCGTGGTATGTTGATGAACAAGTAGCCGGGTTAGTTATGCTTTATTAGGAGCACATGAATTGTTATAATCAATATAAGTATTAAAACGGTAACGATACAATTCAATCAATATAAGTATTAAAAACGGTAATGATATTCTATTATCTCATTCATTGCAGGTATACAATGAAATTCTCAAACCACAACTATAAATTAACATTCGCTACAGTAAAGGTGAGAAATCTTCCCTAAAACTTTCTTTTCACTCAGTGATGCTCCTGTCTTATGAAAACTTTAATATTTGACTTTATAAATATTTTTACATTTTTTTAATATAAAAAAATTATGAACATAAGCCTTAGGCTATTTTTTTTATCTTGAGAATACACTTCTATGTTATAACCCTTTTAAATTGAACTTTTGCAATTCTATGAGCTAAAATGAACATTTAGGTGTTATTTGTTTTTTTGAAATCAAAATGTCTGCAGTCTGCGGACCACATCTGCAAGCCTCTGCGGCGGAAGAGGTGGACCAAATATCTGCAGTCTGCAATAAGAAGACTGTTTGTTTTTAACATCTGCAGCTATTGAAATAAATTAATTTTTCAAACTTAATTTCATGTCATAACCATTAAAAATGCATTTTCAGCAAAAATATAAAGAAAAAAAAAACGGGTGGTCTTTTTTTTTTTTTTTTTTTTGTTAAAATGAGGTCTGAAGACCTTTGAAGACAGTGGCTCATGTCTGCGCCAGGAAGACCTCGCGCAGACGTTTTTTGGTCTGCGCACTTCCAAAAAACAAACACTCTGCGAGGGCATATGTCTGCGCGTTGTCTGCGCGGCGCAGACAAAAGTGGTTGCGCAGCTCTTCACAAGAAAAACAAACAGCCCCTTAGTGTTATGATCATGATGGTCGGTCATTTTGTTTTGTTAAAGGGAGGAAGTCACACGAGTCCAGAGAATAGACCCGAAGAATGCTTTAATATGTTTATAAGGTGGTTTGATGATGTAGGCTTGTAAGTAAAAATCATAGAGTTTGATGCTTGTTTTCTGTGCACTAGTTTGTATGTTTAGACTTTCTCAGTTTCAGTTGATACCATAATGTGTTTATTTATATCTTAAATAACTTGTGCAATCAAATAAATATATCCTGGTACTAATGCCCAGGTAATATGAAACACCTCTCACATGCGACATTTTAAATTAATTTTCAAAACGATTTTAGCGTTTTAATTGTTGAATATGGCCTAAACTTTAAATTCCCATTTAGTTTGGAATGAGAGTGTACATAAAAAACAGTGTTTTAGTTAAACAATATTACATACACTAAGAGTGTCTTCTAGATGTCTTTAGACTTCTCAATCATTAATATTACTAGTAACGAGTGATGATTTCCCGTTTTACGGGGTTGGAAGCCATCGATTGTTTCCAAACATTGACTTCTTAGGTAGAGAACAACTTATATTGCACTTTGATAGTAGGATGATATAATAAACAATGGAAAGTAGTAGATGTTTCTTGTGATTAACACATATTTTGATATTATCTTCAAAAACAAATTGACAATAAAAATAAAAAAAAACACACTAATAGTAAAAAGTATGTTAAAAGTTGAATACCCATGATTCATTTCCATAATTATTTGATTACATTACTGCTCGAGATATTTGATTAAATTCATGTTGCCTTTCATATTCTATGTTTTTTCCAAAATAGGATTCTTTATTATCAAATTTTGGACCATTTAATATTTTCCCAGCATTCTAGAAATTAACAAATCCAAAATATTTGAAGTTCCCATTAGTATCTCTCATCAAAAATACACTTGTAACGGTTCCAACTTCACTAAATATGTTCTTATGTGTCCGTAAAAATTTGAGCATCATTGATGTCGTCAAACATTTTTCAACACTCTGAATATAAATTAACCAAAATGAAATTTATTATATTAAAATGTATCAAAAAAGTTGATAATAAAATTTATATATAAAAATTGTTTGCTTACCTTTTATACTTTTGATTTTCGCTTATAATATCCACATGTTGAAATGAATTGTTATATTTGAAGTGTTGAGGATCGGTATGTGTAGATATGGGATTAAGTTGCTTTCTTTCTATTCGAGCTAAAAAGAATAGACAAAAGTTGCAAGAATGGTCGCTGTGGTATATCGAAAATTGCCACTTTGGGACAAACAAGTTTTGATTATCACACCTGGTCCAAAAATTTCTATTTTGTTGCTAGTTTGGTCCATTCTACTTTAATTTTTTATAAAATGATGATTTTGCCCTCTTTATTTTCTTTTTTCATTTTTGTATTAAAAAAATAAAAGAAGAAAAGAAAAAAGAATACTCTCTCTCTCTCTCTCTCTCTCTCTCTCTCGTTCATACTTCAAGACCACACAGTCAACACTCTATTTTTTAGGTTTGTTTTACAAAATAAACACGCACACTCATGAATCTAAAATAGTTTTGGCATTGGAAATCCCATAAATTGAATATGAAATCATTGCTCTTCAAACCATTTCTGAAAACAAAACAAAACCCTAGAAATCGAGGGTGGGAGGTAGCTGAAGGTTGATGGAGTTTGATTGCAGTGGAGGTAGTGATGATGATGATGTGGTTACAGATAGATCTAAGCATATCTGTGATAAAGAGGGATAGAGAAGAGGCGATGGGTGTTTGGCGGTTCGATAATGGTGAGCGGCGACAATCTGGAAATGGTAGCAACAAAAATCGTTTTTCATAGACGAGTTTTTCAAAAATCATTTCAGAGACGATAGATTGAGCATCTTTCTAAGACGATTTTAGAGATGAGGGGAGGTCTTGACCGCTGCTTGTTGCTACCGGAGTTCAAACTCAGAAGGGCTTAAACCGACTCCCACCGGCGGTCAAACTCCTTTCTCCCTTTCTTGATGTTTTTATTGTCTTCTCTCCATTCATCTTGTATCTTTCTCGCCTTCCAGGTCCAAATCAACAACCCTCTCCGATGTTTTTATTGTCTTCTCTCCATTTCATAAATGATTTTTGGGTTTTATGTGTTTGTGTGTTCAATGTGTGTGTATGTTTGTGTTGAATCTGTTGAACAATCGATGGATGTTTGTGTTGATTTGTTTTAGTGCTCTTTAGATGTCATGTGTTTGTACGTTCATTTGATTTTGTGTGTGTTTGTTCATCTTTGGGTGGTTGTGGTGGCGGACGGTGGTCGAACGATGGTGATGTTAGATGTTCTTGAGTGTTCTTAAGGAAGAAGAAGAACAAGGGTAAAAAGATGTGTCTAGGATAAATAACATGAGAGAGAGAGAGAAACAAGATAGAAACGAGAGAGAGAGAGAGAGAGAGAGAGAGAGAGAGAGAGAGAGAGAGTATGCATGTGAAAGTGAGTGAGTCAGAGAGAAAGGGTATTTTTTTTCTTTTCTTTTTTCTTTTTCTTCTTTTATGTTTGTAATACAAAAATGAAAAAAGAAAATAAAGAGGGAAAAATCGTCATTTTATAAAAAATTAAAGCAGAATGGACCAAACTAGCAATAAAATAGAAACTTTTGGACCATTTATGCTAGTCAAAACCTGTTTGGCCCAAAGTGGTAATTTTCGATATACCACAGGGACCATTCTTGCAATTTTGTCAAAAGAATAAGACAATTGACATAAAAAAGTGAAACCTAGGCCTAGAGTTCATAAACTTGAATCAGCTTGGAAAACCATTGCTTTCCAAAGAACCCACCTGGTGGTAGAAGTAATGGTTGCCAATTATACCCTTGGTACATCGCATATGAATCAACATCAAACATAACATTGCATTAATTCCCTTGGCATATATATATATATATATATATATATATATATATATATATATATATATATATATATATATATATATATATAGGATGAAATGAGAACACCTAAAAGGTTGAGAACGCGAAAACACATCTGAACCATTAAAAAAAACTAAATCTAAGGCTATTATCGAATGAGCTATTTATGTAAATTCTTAAAATTATAAGAATCAATGTTCAACTTTAAAACTGTCATAAGGGTAAAATGGAAATTGATTGTTTACCTATGTTTAGCAATTCCAACAATCTCTCTCTCTCTCTCTCTCTCTCTCTCATTCATTTATGAATAACACGTGTATTCATTTACGATAGAATGTGTATTAATTTATTAATAACAGTGTATTTATGTATTCGTGTGTGAAAGATTGTATTTATTTACACTATTTTTTATTTTCAATTTATGAAAAATGCATTGAATTATATGTAATTTGATGTGTTTTCATTTATGATTGGAAGTGTATTGATTTGATATTGGATTTCTATTCATTTAAAAAAAAAAAAACAAAAACGTGATATAGTAGAAAATAATATTTTTTTTTAAGATTTTATTTTCAGATTTAAAATAAATGGAAATATTTATTTTTTTAGGTAACTTTTTTGAAACTTTCATAAATAATTTTTGGGAAAAATAATATATATATATATATATATATATATATATATATATATATATATATATATATATATATATATATTATTAACTAAAAGGAAATACTAATTTTGTTAGGTAATTAAAATAATTATCCCTAGATTTTAGGAAATCATTAATTAATATTTATATAAAGTTACTAATATACCCTTATAAAATGATTGATGCATAACTGTTCTCGCGTTCTCAACATTTTTAGTGTTCTCATTTGATCCTATATATATATATATATATATATATATATATATATATATATATATATATATATATATATATATATATATATATGCTGATTCCGGTGGGTACGCAGCTGGTAGCGATTCCGAATAAATGAGAACCAGAACCGTAACCACTTAAGGCATTTCCATGACTTTAGCAACGAAAACCAAAACCGCTTAAGGCTATTATAATTCCAGAACTGACTGTTCTGAGACTGTTCCATTTCCGAAAGCAAGTACCCAGTTCCGATGCTCATCCCTAAGCATACCTCATCCTATTCTAAGCCAAAGTGCCAAGATATATTATATTCTTCTGAAGTTCCAGAACATACTAGAAATCTAAATTTATGACCATACCATCGTTCATATTCATCTGCATAGTGTCACTAACCTTGATATTGTTTACCCAATCATCACTCATCTTGACTGAACCATTATACTCTCTGAAGGAGTCAACGACATCACGATTATATGTCATGTGATAGGATGCTCCAGAATCCAAGACTCAAGCATCTACAAAACTTGATGTACTTACAATTAGTACAGTACCACACCAGTATCCCATACATCAGAACTCTCTTGAACCACAACATCACCGTTAGTGCTTCTTCATTCAATCATGAACTTTCCATTCTTCAACTATGGAAATTTTCGCTTGAAGTGCCTCATCTATTTGCAGTTATAACATTTTTCATTTGATGAACCTTTAGACTTAGGTTTTGAATGTTATTTCCCTTTGTTTATCGCTTTCCTCTTTTCTTTCCTTTCTCTCCTTACAAACAAACTAAAACTGGACACCTCATCTCCAACTAAAAATTTTCTTTTCATTTTGTTAAGCCCCATAGAATCCTTCATATCACTCACATTGATCATTGTTGTACAGTAGAACATGGTATCAATGAAATTCTCATATGAGTTAGGAAGAGAACATAAGACAATGAGCAACTGATCTTCATCTTCAATCTTCACATCAACCCCTTGTAGATTCAAGATGATGCGATTGATGTTATCCAAATGAACTTTCAATTAGGAAATTCCAGACATTTTGAGAGTGTACAAACATTGCCTCTGATACAACTTGTTTGTCAGAGAGTTGTTGTGACAACCAGAAGTTGTTCCATCGCAGAAACCCATTTCGTCCGTAAAACTCGTTTTAATCGAATTATTCTGATTTCGTTTTTGGATTAGGTCAATTAAGTTAAGACTTTTATTTTGACCTTGTAAGTATCCAAACATGTTAGAAACACATGAAAACGTCCCAAACTAGTAATTAGAAAATTTTTAGTTTCGACCATATCGGGTGACGACAACTTAATCGGGTGCGACCAAAAGCCTCGGTTAACATCAGTATCGGGTATAATTCCACCATGTATCAAATTCAAACCATATTTAAAGTGAATTAAGACTCATTTGTAGCCTTTTCACTCTCTCTCTAACCTTTCTCCTCAATTGAAGAATTTGATCCAAAAATCACTCATTTCAAGCTTCAAAACACCAAGGTAACCATCCTAGCTTCTTGTACAACATCCTTAGCCTTCAAATTTGAGTTCAATTCATGATTTAGGACCTCAAACATGTGTTTATGGCCCTAGAACTCTTGGTCCGTGAACACATATAAATGGTGTTTTTGAGCATCAAAACCCTTCCAAATCACCATTGGAGCTTAAATATGGCTTAAGGACTTATTGTATTGGACTTAGGACACCTTAAACTCAACATTTGGGGAGTAAACATGAGTTTACTGCCCAAGAACATGCTTGGGCTGTAAACACCCTTTCATGGGTAGTAAACTCCTTTTTGGGTGTTAAAATGCAACTTACACACCTCATAAGCCCTGGAATAAAGTCTAGAAGCAACCACAAACAAGTTAGGAGCCATAAACTTGATGAAAACAACTCCATAAGGATTTCATGGCCATAAACCCCCCAAGAATGGGTTCCTGGGCCGTAAACTCTTATAAATGGGTTGTATGATGCCCTAAACTCACCGCTTGTCTTGTAAAATTGAGTAGAACCATTTGTGATTAATCTATGAACTTCAAAGCACTTAAGATTGGAGTGGGTGAGAGTTTATGGCCATAAACACTTAGTTTACTGCCATAAACTCATCAATTACTCCACATGGTTGATTTAATCCCTCTATAATGCCCTAGAACCAAACCTAACATCACCCCGAAAATGATATAAGGCCATTAAGCACTCTAGAACACCCCACCATGAGTTTACGGCCCTAAAATCATGGGGATGTGGTGTTTAGGGCCATGAAATCTTCTAAGAGTTTACTCTTGAAGAGTAAACTCCATATCCAAGCCATTCATGTCCATAAATGTCACCCAGGTCACTCCAAACACTTATTTTGAAGTGTTTTCGCGTCTTGGAGTGTATAATCATATCTGATTAGTGTTTTAAAGTCTAATTAGATACATTTGTGTATCATTTAACATTACATAGGAACCTCGTACGTTTTCAAGCCTTGATCCGACGTTTAGCATCCTAGTCAACACATTTCCTTGTCTGGTGAGTTTATACCCGTACCCTTTTTCAATGTTTTTCACTGTTTTCAGGGGGGGGGGATACAAGCAAAGTACAAGTAATACTTGTGCTCAAAACTTATTTTATATGTCTTGTGTTTCATATTACATATGTTTTTAACACTGACAATCATAACAGATAACCGTTTGAACTTGCAGATCACATTATCATATTATTTGTGAAAATCTTTATAAACCATTGTATTTTATATTTTCACAGATCGTTTTACACATTATAATAGTTAAAAACATAATCTTTGAACTTTGAACAAGAAACTTAGTATATCGTTTTGTCCTCGGTAACACTCCATAGAGATACGCGAGTGGAGGATCGTCTTTGTAGGTAGAACTTACAAAGGACTTTCAACATTATTACTTGTAGATTTGTTATTCCTATAAATTGGAGACACGTCCTCGGAGAACACTCCACA